TACATATTTATTTTGAATAGATTCCGCGTTACGTAGCGGGGACTTAAAGGATTGTGCTCAATACTTGGACGCTGTGTCGAGGTCTGCGGACGTCGGGTCGTTGTGGTGTCAACTGGCTGAACAGGCGCTAACAGGATACGATGTTGAGGTTAATATGTACGACATTACAGTAAGATTAAATATAAACAGAAGTTTGTTAAGGCCTCGTTGCCAAACGCATTGAAAACATTCTACTATTTTTTAGTTTTTTCACGATATTTGCTTTATGTGAATTTGTATTCAAGTACAGAGGATATAAGTACAGTGGATGGCTCATAAATAATGTCGATTTTCAGTGTTCACTTTTTAATATATAAAGCAATGAAATATATGACTTACTATGAGATGTATAGCTCTTCGTATTGAATGGTTTTTATCCCAAAGAGCAGTAAACTCTTAGGTTAAACCGTTGTTGGCCTTAAATGCAAAAAAATGTCGCACTGCTTTAACACATTGTTTGTCGCACATCTGTTGGATTGAAATTATTTTGTATAAAAGAATCTCGCCATAGATCTTAAGTGTAAAGTCTGGACTGAATTTCCGATGTGGTAGGAGTTTAATATCACCAAGTTCTTTGATCGTATTCCGCGTTACTTTCGACATTTATGGTTTAGAATTGTCTTGAAAAAAAAAAAAAAAACAATATAACATGGATATTTATTCAAAAAATTCACCTGTCCACTATTGTATAAAAGCGTAGTCCTTCATAAACAAACAAACAGAAAATTGTTCAAAGAAAATAAAAATTACTGTACCGTTCCTACGAGCTAGAGATAAATTTAAGAAGTTCCAGCATATTTAAAACGATGCGTTGAAATTATTACATATGAATCGACATTACCTATGAGCCACCATGTTTATAATATGATAGAAATGAAGATTGTCCAATGGTTTTAGAATAACTACTTCTATTTATTATTGATTTAATTACATTAACGTTAGGTTTAAGTAGATTGGACCACCCTGATACCGAAAAACAGTTATGTTTGGTTAAGTGTTATCCATTCAGTTGTGGTGGTATATTCCTTACTGCTCAAATTAGAGAAAGACTAATATATATATTATAACATTTAAACCTTTAGTAACTCATAACAGATATATATATTTTTCAGTTGGCGACGAAATGCTATAAAGCAGTAGGTGATGAGGCTAGAACATTTTATCTAGAGAAAACTGTCGAGTTAGCTTCGGCCAAAGGGGACGGTAATATTGATGAAGGTATTTTTTGCATTTACACGTTTCGGGAACACCTCATATATGTGTTTCTTTTTGTACGCACTTATTGTATTAATAGTATTTATTTTATTAATCGTGATTATAATATAATGCATAGGTTTTAAAGAGTCCCGAGGTTCGTGCACGTCTAGCAATATTTGTGGGGGACTTAACCACCGCCGAAGAATACTACGTACGTGGAGCCGCTCAGCCAGAATTGGCCATTAATATGTATAAGCAGTTCAATAGATGGGCAGATGCCATCGCCCTCGCTGAAAAAGTCGATAGACAAGCGGTGACATCACTCAGGCAGCAATACATGGACTATCTCACGTCAACAGGTGCAAAAATGATAACTGTTCAGTATATAATTTAAGATTGATAAAATTTTTACGCCCTGCAAAAAAATATTAATAAAATCTTATTTATTATCTTCGTTAAAATAACACTAATACTCTGTTTGCCCTAGTAAAGTATTATTTTTTTGGTACAGGTCGTCTCGGCGAGGCGGGGGCGGTTTTAGCGTCAAGCGGTGACGTGCGAGGCGCGGTTCGTGTGTGGGTGAAGGGTGGTCGGGCAAGACGAGCTGCCAGCGCTCTGTTACATCACCCCACACTCATGAAAGATGATGAGCTCCTGCAGGCTGTGCACGATCAACTAGTACAGGTGAAGGATGCATTAGTTGCATTAGATTGCATCAGATAGACAAAAATAACAGGGAAGGAAATAGGTCCATTACCAGATTGCTAAATAAAAATGCTACTGAAGTATGGACCTATTTATGAGAATACCGCTTGTTGGTCTCACTAAGGATAGTCTTGTTGTAGTAATGAAAAGATCCTGCTCAATTCGTTGTAGGTCTTAATACATACGCAAATGACCAATTAGCGTTTGTTTTTGATTTAGTGTTATTGATTATACTATTGAAGAGGTAATGTAAGTGTGAATGATGCAAGTTAAAGACGAGGGTTATGCATTTAATTAAAAAAGAATAGTAGAAGTATATTTTTTGAATATAACTGTCTCAAACATTAATATTTATTCTTATACTGTAACTCCTGCATATTACTATACATTTTAAAAAGTTAAGATTCACTAATTGGAGACATAGATTATGAAATTTATAATTTGTTTCCTTTGTAGGAGGAATGGTGGGAAATGGCTGGTGAAATATCCGAACGTAAAGGTGATATCAGAACTGCGGTTGATTACTATTCTAGAGGCAACAACTACGCAAGAGCCGTTCAACTAGCAAGAGAAGTTAGTACTATCTATTTGAAACTTTTGTTTTTAAATTTGTTTATATCATTTTTTGTTCTTCAGGCCTGTCCCGGTGAAGTGACCAGGTTGGAAGGAGAGTGGGGCGCGTGGCTTGTATCATCGCGACAGGCGGGCGCCGCTGTACCTCATCTCATAGAGGCTGGTCGAACCGTTGATGCTCTCACTGCGGCTCTGAAAGCACATCATTATAAAAAAGCTCTTCAAATTGTACAGGTATTATTAATAATATCTGGTTAGCGAGCTTTGTTGTGTATTCAGAATTATTAGTATTTATTTTGTGTTATTTTTTTAATTTCGTTTAGGCATTTTTAATTCAACACGTTAAGAAGACGGAAAACAATATAAATCAACAGTTAATTTCTTATTCTAACCTTAAAACAAACATTCGTTAACATTCCTGGTACTCAACAACGCCATCTGCTGTGTGTGTCGTTAAAGCAAGTAGCAAAAAGTAGTGTTACTATTCGCCACTAGATGCCAGGAAGAGTCATATTTTAAACGACTAATTTTTGTTATTCTTTTTTACGTAAACTAACATTTTCTAAATGATTAATGATGGTAATGATTCCTAGCTAGATCGATTTATCGCCATCGTTTGAGCCGATACCGATATTCCCATAATATATAAATATATATACAAGAATTGCTCATTTAAAGATATAAGATATTGCTGTAGGTTTTGTTTTTTTATATACTAGTAAACCCGGCGAACTCCGTTTCGCCACCAGAAGGCTTTTATATAACATTTCGTTTGGTGATTAAAAGATGAAGTTTTTTTTTGTTTTTTATTTGAAAAGAAAATTTTTTATTTCATTTCACAACAGTAATGAATTCATTTCGATTACAAAAATGAAGTGTTATTTAGTTGAACTTCTCTAAGTAAATGAAAGTGAATCCAAAGTAGATACCGAATCGAAGCGTTATACGTGTCCGCAAATTATCCGTTTCATTGAAGTCATCCTTTGTAAACCACATTTTTTGTTTTTGGTCTAACTTTAACACAAATAAAGCGGTTGGTTTTCCAAACTCGTGAACATGCAAAATATAACTGCCCATGTCAAAAACAATGATTTTCTAAATTTATCCCGCAAATACTAAATGGTTTTAAGAGTTCAAACTACAAACACAATACCGGTTTGTCACATGAAATTAACTGAGAAGAGAACAATGAGTAGCTGTCAAACAGTGTATCATGCGACGGCACCATCTACTTAAAATATTGGTTTGTAGACTGTAGTACATGTTATGTATGATGGCGCTGTATGTGACAAAAGATTTTCCCCCTTTTCTGTTGAAATTTTTTGTTGTCACGGAGCCCGAGACCTTTCCAACGAATGCAAAACCTTGGAAATTGGTTCTTTCGTTCTGAAGTTATAGCGTCGGGATGGAAAACCGGACTTATTTTTATATAGTAGATTTCTTACAAATTTCAAATTGTCATACGTCATTACATATCTGTCATTATACGTCAATTGCATAGCTGTCAATTGTTTCGTTATTCCACGTTTTATAGTGACTGACGTTTCATGTCAAGTCCCACGGGAATGCTGTCGAACGGGATAAAAAGTATGCTATTGCAATTTCCTGGTTCTTAACTACCTCCCTGCCAGTTTTCAGCTAAATCGGTTCAGCCGTTCTTGAGTTATAAGTGGAGTAACTAACACGACTTTCTTTTATATATATATAGATTTTTTGTAAATCAATCCATTGATATCTTTAGGTTATAGAAGATAAAGAATCTATTCGGGAGCAATGTGAACAATTGGGGGATCATTTTATATCTTCTCAAGTAAGTTTTTTTTTTACTTCATTCTTATATTAAATATTGAACAAAGGAAATATGTTGTTATTATTTTTTTTATAATTGTTATTAACGTAATTCGATTTTGTTCATTCCTTATTAGTTATTGTGTATAGTTACAAAAATATAAATGTAAACTTCCAATAAGGGTGTAAACGAATATGTTTTCAATTATTCATTTCTTCTTTTACACACGGATTTAACGTCACGATTAATTTATTAAATTTTTAGAATTCAAAGTTTGGGTCGATTTTTATTTTATTCTAGTAGGTTTCATGTGTCAATTAATATCTTTTTTGCAAACATTTACAGGAATGGGATACAGCGGAACGAGTTCTCATATCCTGTGGCATGGCGGAAAAAATGTGTACGAGCGTACAACGCTTCGGGCAAAGTGTCGGAAGGTCTACGTCTTGCTGCTACACATCTGCCAGAAGAAGACACGAGAGATATTTACTTACCACTCGCTCAACAATTACGACAGGAAGGGCACTTTAGAAAGGCTGAACAAATTTATATAGGACTAGGAGATACAGATGAAGCTATATCTATGTATAAGGTAATACTCTAAATAAGGTAAAACTCTACTTGAAATATAGATTGTTTAATTATATGCATAGAACAAATATATGGTTTTCCTAAATCGCTGTTAAATATCGTTCAGGAAGCGTCTCAGTATGAGTCGATGCTGCGGTTGGTGGCGGCTCATCGACCAGCGCTGCTGCAGGCTACGAGGAAGAAGGCGGCCAGCGACCTCCGGGCCGCGGGGGAGCTGCGCGCCGCTGAGACCTACTACATCCAAGCCGGTGAGAACCACTAGGGAAAACGATGCGTCTATTGATATGAAAACAAACTTCTTAGTGTTCCATAGATTCGCTGTGTGGGCATTAGGTCTATCGCGTTGCAGGGAGAGGAGCTTGAACAGTTCCTGGGACTTGCAACCCAGGTGTAGGTCTAAGGGACCCGTAACTAACGCGCGTTAAACGCTCCAAGCTCCTCTTAAAACCTAAAAAAAATTGAACCGAACCTAACGAACGTGTGTGCGTACAACGCACGTTCCAATGACCTGATATTAGTTCTGGACAGGCTCAAGTCTTTTAGTAGGTTGTAGAGAGATTTGGCTGTCATACCTCTCTCCCGACTTCTATAGCGTACAAATTTACGACGAACCTATTCTTAGTGAGTTCGTTAGTGAGCTTGTAATACTTGTTGACCTTGATCACATGGTCTTTTCGAAATTTTGGTTTCCGAAGGAACCGTAAGCTCTATTAGCACAACGCACTTAAAATTAGCGAGCGTATTTTAAAAAATGCCATTACCCTCTAGGTCCGTTAAATTATACATGTGAATGAAAATAAATATATATTGTAGATATGATGTTGTATGGTATTTTGATTCCATTATTATTCAAGAAATAATCTTATATGTATGTATATATATCGACCAGGTGATTGGAAAAGTGCCATCCAGATGTATCACACGAGTGGTCAGTGGGGGAGAACGCTGAGCGCGTGGCTCGGGCCCACGCTCCGGTTACAGTACAACAGCAGGTTGCTCTTCAGTGGGCGGGGTCATTGACCGCGGCAGCTGCGGCCCGACTGTTGGTCGCCCGGGGACTGGCAGCACTCGGGGCGAGGTGGGCCCTTCAGGCGCACAGGTATTGATGGATAGGTTTTATAGGCCTTAGATCAGGGGTTCACATACATTAACCTACCACCGATTAACTGCCTCTATTCTATGGAAAAACAAACAAACTTTACGGAACTCGTAAATTTCAGCGAATTCAGTTAAGAAATCGATTATCAATGCTAATGAATTACCTCTGGATACAGGATCCCTTTAGAAATATTGCAAAATTGTACTTTTCAATGGCTTATTGGCCTTACTTATTACAGTCAGATTCAACTATGTATTTAGATGGGATATTGCAATCGAGTTGAGTGAGATGGGTGGTGGGATCACGAAGCGAGAAGTAGCAAGGCATGAAGCAGCGGTTCTGGCTGAAGAGAACCCGGAGGAGGCTGAGGCGGCTTTCCTTAGAGCTTCGGCGGCTGAGGGATGCGATTCGGATGTGGCTGTCTAAAGGGAATCACCAAAGAGCTTTGGCCTTGGCCGAACAGCATGCCACGCATATGGTGAGATATTTTGTTTGATAAGTAACGTAATTTTAGTTTAATGTTCATATACTTTATTCTGATTTACTTTATATAACTCTTAAACGATTTGCTAATAAGTAGACAATAGGAGAGTTTTTTGTCGTTAAAAATTTGATACCCCTGTTTACATTGGCTATACAGTATACTAGTGATTATAATAGTGTAGTAAGTGTAGTTTTATGTGATGTGTATAGACGGAGGAGGTGTTGGTCGAGGGAGCTCGTGCTGCGGCCGAGCGCGGGGACCTGGCACAGTTTGAAGCTCTCATGATAAGAGCCAACCGACCGAGAGAAGTGGTGCAGCATTACAAAGACTTGGGTTCGTACGGATATTACTTTATTGTATCTCTGAAGAATACCTTTTAAAGAATGACAAAATGCTTTGTTAAGAACGATAGTTTTTTATAAAATGGTGGTAGTTTGTTACCTTCGTCTATTAAGTATTAATATACATGACATTTTCTTTGACAAGATAGAGATTAATAAATTCATAAGCTGGATAACTTACAGCAGCAATATCGTTTGTTAAATTGAAACAATACTCAAGAAAGCTGTGTATTATCATCACATTTTGCTTTTAATATTTTTGAATGTAGTTTAGTGTGATTAAATAATATTTTTTTCATGTTCAGAGTTGTACGAGGAGGCGTCTCGAGTGTCCCGCGAGTATCTCCCGGAGAGCTCTGAGTCTGTCCCCCACCTCATGTACCGCCGCTGTTACAACGAGCCGCCTCACACGCGGACCGGTACTGATAAACTGTCGTATATACATATATATGGGGAGAGTCGGATATATCGTACCACTTTTCACTTTAACTCAAATATTCCGACTATAACACGTCTTATAATAATTAATTAATACATATGTAAAATAAAGTTTCATATCTTAGCTTCCTAAGAAGAAGAGAACAGATCCTTGCGATTATTCTAACATTGTTAAAAATGTTTTTTTATAGAGGCTTTCCATCGGTACGATTTAGCGGACTAGTCGTTTTAATCGTACCACTAAGTCTTTAAATCGTACCATGGGTGTTTAAGTCGTACCACTGAATGGAAGACATTAAAATTCTCAATCAAATTATTTATTTTTAACTGTTAGGTAAGTAATGAAACTTCATTAATTATATCTTTTAGGCAATGAAAAAACATAATTTTAAACTCTTAGGTTATATAAAGGAACTATAAGCTTTCTCAGTAAAATGCCATAATTATACTATGATAATGAGATCAATCAACATAACTAATAAAAATGAGACTAAAAATAAACAGTAAACTATAATAATAAAGTAACAGTTAACAAGAATGTTATTTGGAATATAATTATTGTGCATATTTCTTAATGGAAACAATCATGATAAATGTCTGGATTCGAAGTACATGTCTCATGTAGCCACAGTTTACAGCGAACGCATTGAATCCAATCAACTTTTGGACCCTTCTCATCATAGTAAGAACAATTGCACTTTCGACATATATTTTCAAGATAATCATCGCTGCCATCATCATCATCTAGTTCTACAACAAGTGTCTCTCCTGAATCATCGCTACTGGTGATGGAATGAGATCATTTCCTCTTATAACTTTTGTTTTTGGCCTTGGGTAGTACTTACTATACGTACTTGCGGTAGTACTATAGGTACTTGCGATTGGTAGTCGGGTAAATCGTACCAGTACAATTTAACCAACTGCAAGTGGTACGATTTAAACCAACTAAGGCATTTGTAAAACAAAAGTAAATATCCGCCATAAACTCAAAACTTAGACACGCAACAAAAACCCCGAATAATCTAGTATACAATTGTGGAATAATAAAAAAAAACTAAATAAGTATAGCTATAGTGATTACGAGTTATCTCCTTACGAATGTACGACAATATTTATATTAATGCCTACAAAAAATGTTTTTCTTTTATTACGAGCACAGTTGTTAACTCACGTCGATTTAAACTAGTGGGTGAAGAGGGATGGTACAGGGCCACGATTTGGCGTTGTCAGAGTAGAAAAAAATATTCATTAAATGAGAAATTTAGATGTGGTACGATTTAAATGCTAGTACGATATAACCAACTCTCCCCTATATGACGTCACATTGTTTGTGTGCCATGAACTCCTAAACTACTTAACCATCATTAATACAATTTTTTTTTTAACCTGTGTGCGGTTTTCGTCCTACTTGAAAAATGGGTTTCTTTGAATCTTAATTTTGTAATGGAAATGTTATTTTATTTCTGTTTTCATTCTAGTTTGTTTATTATTTTGTCACTATCATTTAAACAGTAATAACTGTTTGTAGGTTCCACAACATTCTAACAGATAGCAGTATTAATTAGATTGTGTCCAATAATGGGCGATAAGTTTATAGCACAAATTTTTATGGAACCGTTGGAAACGGAAAATTTGTTAATATGAGCAGTGACTATTCGCCTGAGTCATGTGGTTTACGCTAAAACACGCCTACTGTTATTTTTTTATATGAAGACCCATGACACACACGATAGATGTCGCTAGTGGTTTGTTGCATTATCATTAAGTACACATTTGTTTCATTTACAATTCGGAAGTACATGTGGACGAAGACGTGTTCAAAAGCTACAAGGCAGCTATATAAATATACTATGTACTTGTATTCCTATTTGAAATTATCATTTCTTATTCCATAAAAATGTACATAAAAAGGTCGGGACTATCTTAAATTACGCGCGATGGTATGAAATTTATTTCATGTATATAATATATATCAAATTCATAGAATGCTGGCTAAGAAGCCTATTAGTTAAGCATTATTATTAACAAATGTTCTGAATATGAGCAAAATTGAAAAATTAAATTTAAATAAAAAATTATTATATTGTAATGAGATCTAAGATTCTCGCGAGTATTCATTTAAATGATGCTAATATTTACGGATTACTACGCATTATACAGGGTGACTGGTGAATTACTATCAATATTTAAGGAGCATACTCGGTACATGATTCTCATTCGAATTATGTGAAAAAAAAATAGGTACTTAATTTTGACCAAATTTCCGTATAAATAAATAAAGTGTGGACACGTTCCAAGTGTTCCAAGTGTGAACGCGTGCGGCGGCGTGCTGATACAACACCACGCCGCCGCCGCGTCTGTTGTGTGAGTGTGTGTGTATACCTAATCTGTAGGGTGTTCATACGATACGTAATTAATTACATAACTTTTGGTTAACTTTACTTAGAAGTTTGTTAATATTTATGTTATATTAATTTTTATTTCGTCATATATGATCGTCAAATATCACGTCCTCAAATATCGATAGTAATTCACCAGTCACCCTGTATAATATTTTTAAAAACTACATACTACGACGTTTCGGTAACATTACAGCAACTGTGATCTTGGGCAGGCGAGATGTTAACTGAATACACGCGATAATCTTAGATACATCCTACTAATATTATAATTGCGAAAGTTTGGGAGTGTGTGTGTATATGTTTGTTACTTCTTCACGCTCAAACGGCTGAACCGATTTTGATAAAATGTTGCATATAGGAAGCTGACGTCCAGGAATAACACATAGGCTACTTTACATCTTCCAATCCCGGAAATCCGCGGGTAACACCGCGGGTCGCAGCTAGTATCTTTATATAAATCATTATGGATGTGATATCAAGTGGAATGTTTGTTTTTTT